TGGTGTTCTTGCTTTTTACTTGTTGACATACAACAACTAGGGATAACAAACTTGGCTATTTCTCTTTCATAATTTTGGCCACCAAAAAAATTTGCTCACATCTTGGTGTTCCCTGGAACTGAACGGAAAATCTGGACCATGAGTTCCTCAAATTCTTCTTTTCAACTCTGGGACGTAGGCCACGCACAATCTTCCTTCACACTTAAAGGTACTTGGATTTTTCGATGGTGTACCCTGGCCTCGGCTTAGTGGCAATCTCATCCAATTTCTTTCTGAAAGAATTTCATCCTCCACATTGTCTAGTCTCTGTACCTCCTAATAATAGATCTGAGCTCCACTAAAATCATTTGCTAAACAAGCCAAGATTCCCAACTAGCTCTACTCAGGCTGCGGCCACTGAGTTGGCTGTACCTCGGGTGATACTGAATTCTGCAAAGTCTGTAGTCTTTTCAATAAACTCCCAAGCCATTCCTCTGCCTCAATATTTCAATTCTTATCTGAGTGAAGCAAGTATTCTCAGACTCTATTGTGATCTGTCGAAAAACTTACAAGAAGCTCCATACAAGAATGAACGTCTCAAAATTTTTCAAAGCAAATACCATGGCTGCTAATTCTAGATCATGGTAGGATAATTCTTTTTCGATGAGGTTTTCAACTGACGAGATGCATATGCTATGACCTTACGCCCTTGAATTAACCACACAACCTAAACCCTTATGCGAAGCATCACTATAGAATCTGGAAAATCCTGCATTACCTGAACGCTAGTACAAGGATCAGTGCTGTGACTGCCTCGTCTTTGCCTCCTGGAAAGCTGGACTTCTCTATCCTCGAGTCCATTCATATGCACTCCCTCTAAGTCAATTTGCATCAAATGGGGGGTAGCTGCAATCCGTCGAGAGATCCTTCACAAACTTTTCTGTAATAACCTGCCAATAGAAAACTACGAACCTCACATGTATATTTAACTCTATAGATTTCAGTATACTTAAGTCGATCTACATTTCAAATTTTACATTTTCGTGTTAAATTAGGTTCCAACTTTGCGAAGGACTACTGATGTCATAATTTCTGAAGAGATTATTCTCTTGCAAAGCGTCCTCATACCTGGCAAGGAGGTTACAACGGTATATACTGAATGGGTTTCGGTATCGAGTAAAGCCATGGATGATCGTCGAGCCACACAAAATTGTTGGTGTAGCGTTGAAGGCAGATACATAAGTTTGCTAGTCGAAAAGACAAGAATCCTCGTTGGGGTCTGTGTACTATTATGGACATTGATAAGATATTGTTGAGATTCGATATTCCAATGAAGAGAAACATGTGTTTGTTTAAGTGTGATTGGATTGACAACATTCACAGAAAGAAAGAAGATGTCTTCAATTTCACGTTGGTGACTTCAATCATTTGTGTTACGAGATGAGCGAATTACCAATGAACCTTTCATCTTTGGCGTCCCAAGCAGAGCAAGTTTGGTATGTTGCAGACCCGTTACAACCAGACTGGCAAGTCGTGGTGAAATGATCTCAAAGAGTTTATTTGACATGAGTTTCGATTGAATCCACAAATCGAACTCATACATGAGCGCAACATTGCGTAAGAAACATATAAATTGCTCGCTGATGAGAAGTTGGTTGGGTGAGGGAAGCCGCAGAAGGGAAACAGTGATGTTCAAAATAGGTTGATATTTAATCAACATTAGTAATTCAATTAAGGCCAAGGTTGTAGTTAATCATCAATTTCTTAATTTACTTTGTCTTTGTAATTGTATTAGTTCAAATCATGTCATATTATAGTTGATGACAAACCATTGTCTATGTTTCTAATGTCAATTAATGTTATATTGCTTGCAGATTATTATGGGAAGGAAGAGGAAGCCTGATCATCCCCGACGTATGATGTCTGATGTGGTACATAACAGGACATCAGTAGCACCACCATTAGAGGAGGCATCACATCGGCCAGCATCGGAGGGGCCATTAGTGCCACCAGCATCTGAGGGGCCATTACCACCGTATCGACCACCATCAGTGGCACCACAGCAGCTACCATGTACTCGGCCTCCACGCCTACCATCGGTGCGTCCACCATCAATGGCACCACAGCAGCTATCATCATCAGCTTATGAGCCATCCGCAGGTATTTAAATTTGCTTTGATTTGCATGAAAATTATTTGCACATACATTTATTTATGCTCATTATATATAACTTGTTTATTCTCATTGAATTTTGCAGACCCTTCGTCTTCTTCACAGCCTACATCAGGTATAAGAATTCGATTTGTATTCATATTATTTAAATTTGCATTTGTTTATTACCATTGCATATTGTTTGTTGTTATTTTATCTCGCAGGTCATGTTAGTTCTTCATCAATTTCGACTAGGCGTGGTAGAGGATGTGCCAAGGGTATTAAGAGTGGGGTACTGGTAAAAAGCTGCACATACAATTTGATGGAAATTACTGCCCAATAGGGGATAACGTGGCCAAGTTAACTACTCAACTTGGCATTATTGTTCGGAATGGTAACATTGTTCCTCTTACTTTTGTTGACTGGAACAGTGTGCCTGATGATATTGTTGATGCTATTTGGAAGGATGTGAAGGTAAAAGTATATTTTTGTCCACAAATTCGAATTCCAAATTTGTGTTATACTTAGCCTTAAACTTTGTGTTTTATAGGACAATTTGAATATATGTCCAGAGGAGTACAAGCCAATCTGCATGAGAAACTGCAACAGCATATGGAAGGATTACAAGAACAAGATTAAGACTAAGTATTTCAGGCCTAGAAGTTCTGATCCTAATATGAAGGATGATGTTCCTTTGCACATTGTGACAAGCTAGTGGGAAGAACTTGTGGAGTATTGGCGTACTTCCGATGCTGAGGTATACAAATAAGTTATATTTATGATATGTAAACATACAAATCATATTTACATACTTACATTTGTTGAACCTGTTATAGAAAATTGCAAGTAGGAACGCTAACAATCGGCGAGCTCACAGCATAGCTCATACCACAGGACGTACTACTTTCTCTCAGATACGGCATGAGGTTTACATTTTATTGTTTTATTTTTGTATATAAATAAACATTGTATATTTACAAATTATTTAGATTCTAATTTTTATATTTCTAAAAAAATGCAGATGACCAGTAAGGGGGAGTCTACTGATAAGATGAATGTTTGGCTTATGACACGTAGAGTAGATGACCCAGAGGTTATTCAGACCTTGGTAGTTTCCAAACACCTTTGATTGTATTTAAAGTTTATTTTTTGTGTGTCAACCATCTTAATTTGGCATATACTTGTATGTCTTATTCAATACAGGATGAGTTTAATCGTCAACTCTCTATGCTATCTGAGGATGGTCGGACTTTGGAGGCTAAGAATGCCATTTTCCATGAGTTGATAGGTCATGACGGACATGGATATTGTCGCACATACGGGAGAATTGTGCCTCGGAGAGCGGTGCATAAAGATGGTGCTGGGCCATCACAATCAACACCCCAGCCATCGACTATTGATCAGATCACGCAGAAGGTTCGTGCAGAGCTAAGGGATGAGTTGAGGGAGGAGCTGCGAGTAGAGTTCTCTACACATTTACAGCAGATGAGAGCTGAGATGATGGCCTTAGTGTCACAGGGGGCAAGTGTGGATCCTAACAGACAGGTTCGATATAAATTAAATTGTTTGATAGTTCAATTTTCACACAAGATTATGTATAAAATTCGAATATGATTACCACATTATGTATTGACTATCATAGGTTCCTGATGCATCGAGTGGCCACTGGGCATTTAGGGAATTTGCAAGAGACGAGAATCCATATACACCACCACCAGAAGATCAGGTATAAAATGTATCTTTGCATTCTAAGCTACAATGTATCTTTGCATAATTTAGACATTCTAAGTTAAAGAGAGACTTTTGACTATCATAGGTTCCTGATGCATTGAGTGGCCACCGGGCATTTAGGAAATCTGCAGAAGACGAGAATCCATATACACCACCCCCAGAAGATCAGGTATAAAATGTATCTTTGCATTCTAAGCTAAAATGCATATTTGCATAATTTAGACATTCTAAGTTAAAGAGAGACTTGTGGGAGAAAACGGGGCTCGAATCGGGTTCCCAGTTTGGGAGTTAGAGCCGGATTTCACTTTAGGTAAACTACTTCCTTAAGAAACTTCAATTCGAGGTGTTAACGCCCCAAAATCACCAAACGGTGTCGGTTGAGCACGAAACTTGGCACACGCGACCGCCTAGGCACGAGAGACTTGTGGGAGAAGACGGGGCTCGAATCGGGTTCCCGGTTTGGGAGTTAGAGCCGAATTTCGGTCTAGTCAAAATTATTTACTAAACTATCTTTCTAATTATATAGTAGTCAATTTTTTTTTATATTTTTCTATAATTAAAATATTAACACCATTATATGGTTATTAATTATTTTTATCTTGTTTTTTTCAGATATTTCCTAAGTAGCAGTTGCTTCTTGTGGAATGCGGGCGTATAAAGATTATGACCAACTTTTGTTTTTGTAACCCACAAAAGAATCAAGACGAAAACTTTTGGTTTTGATTTTGATTTATGTTATTTAAATTTGTGAATAACATTATGTATGTAGTATGCGACATTATGTAGTGGCATAATTTTTATTTTTATGAGTTTTTATTTCTGTATTGTTATGAATGGAACAACATTATGAATTTTCATTATTTGTCAACTTTTGTTTATGTATGTATTTATATTATTATGTAATTTTTGGATTTTTTTATAGTTATTTTTCATTTAATACAGGTTATTTTAATTTTTTTAATAATTTCGAAACAGGTTTTTTTTTTTTTTTTTTTTTTTTGAGACGGCTTAATATCCCATCGCAAAAAAGTTTTAGGAGTCTTTTGCGACGGCAGACATACTGTCGCAAATGCTACACAATGTAATTTAAAATAAAACCTTTAGCGACGGCTCAGGCTACCGTCGGCAATAGTTTCAGCTATGACACTTTTAGCGACGGCATTCTTGCCGTCTCAAAAGACCTTGTTTAGCGACGGAAATACTGTGCCGTCGCAAAAACGCAGATTTTCTTCCATTATTGGCGACAGAACATTGCCGTCGCAAAAAAGGCAGACTCCCGTCGCAAAAAACAATGGCGACGACACTTACAGTCGCTAAAGCCCTTTTGCAACCCCCTTCGACGCGACCCCCACCTGCCGTCGCAAAAAGCCAAATTACCGTCGCAAAAAATATTAGAGACGGCGCGCGGGACCATTTGCAACGGCGTTTTGCCGTCGCAAAAAACACTTTTTTTTGTAGTGTGTAATTCTTTCAAAAAATTATCATATGGCTTCGAAACACCACATGGCCATGTGATTTGTCCACAATTTTTTCTTATTTTTCTAATCAGATAAGTATATAATTCCTATTATTGGATGGGTACGTACACAGCTAATATGGTGTTTTGAGAAGAAACAATAATTAATGGTGGTTTACGACTTTGACGGAAAGCCATTTTTTTTTAAAAAAAATTTGTGTAGGTAAATTATAAATACATTTGTATAAAATATGAATTGTCTCTTGTGATTCTAAAAATTATAAATATTCTCTTATCATAATTTTTTATTTAACAAAATTAATAGAAAAAATAAAATTTCCAACTATTTTTTATGCATTATCAAAAACTATTAATTAAATAATGATTTAAAAATAAAAGATGTCATCTATTATACAATCAAAAATTTGAAAGGATGATGTAATTTCTATAACATTCAGTGGTCGGCAACAAGATTGCCGAGTAACGAACAATTCATATTTTAAGTAAATTTCAAGAGTGTGGTGAAGTAATTCTATTTTTACACACTATTTACTCTTTGTGTGCATTATTTCTTAATGCACACACTTATAAATTTGTTTACCTTTTGTTTTACTAATTCTGCCCACCAAATGTTCCAAAGATACCCTAAGTCATAATGTATACACACATCAACACAAAAACTCAACACATTATATATACACACCACACAAAACATATAAAACCATGCCACACCCCTAAACATAAATTTAAATTGTATCTTCCGACACTTTCCGACAATACTTTGACATTGTTTTACTATTTTTGTTATTCATTTTGTATTGACTGAGGAAAAGAAGGAAAATTGTTACTAGCTATCCGAATAAATTTAAAAAATTCAGCAATCAACAACCAAACAAAATAATAAATTTTGATTTTGTATTTCTGAATAAATATAAATTTTCAACATATAACTACTGAACCATAGAAACACTTTCTTTAACTATACTTCTAGATCAAATTTACGTTTTTGAATCCGTATTTTCAAATCATTTATATATTTTTAGTTCTATAGTTTTGAACTATTTACATATTTTCGTTTTTTTCTTTTTTTTTTGGAATGAGATTTTTTTTTCCCCATACCCTCTATTTATATATTTTCGGTCTGATGTGTTTATTTTTTGAAAAGATATGTGCTAAAAAATTTCATGTTCAAAAGATATCTATTGAGAAAATCTAGTTTTAAGGTTTGGTATGGGTATTGATATCTATATTGGTCATTTTGTTTAATGGTAAAATTGTAAAAAAAATAAAATAAAATAAAAATTAATTCAATGTGTATAAAAATAGAATTACCCTAATTGGGCCTTTGTTTTAAGTAGATAGCCCTAATGTAAATAATACTAAAACCACAAGCAAGCGCACAACACAAACCTTCAATTGTTCAACTCATGTACAGATCTAGTTTCTCTTTTGTTTTTATATATTTGGATTGAAGGCTTGTACAGAGAAATCAAGTTCTTTAGAATTGACGAGTAATATTATTATACAATTTTAAAGGGAAAAAATCATCAGTTTGCAGAACAAAGAAGATTTGAGTCATCGGGGGACAAGGTATTATTCCACTCTTTTACTTGCTCTTTCTTTCATTATTACTATATTCAGATATTAATCTATCAAGCAAAATTTGCTTTGTATTTTATTTTAACTGTTAGATTATTATTATTATTATTATTTGGTTATGTTAGGTTTTCAATTGGTCATGGAACCACAATTGAAAAAGACCAACTACAAGTTTGACCGGTTAAGTAATCTTCCAGACAACATAATTTATGACATCTTTTCATTGCTTCATATGAGAGACATTCCATGTGTGTGTGCACGTTGTCAAGGAGGCTAAGACAGCTTTGCTTCTCTATGCCTTGCTTGAATATATCTTTTGAATCATCCTTGAATTTAAAGACATTCTGGGGTGTAAAACCAATCAAGGAACAAGAATTAGACAGTGTTACCTGATTTGTCGAGAGATTCTTGCATCTTCGCAATGGGGCAGACTTATTCCGCCTTCGTATTGATTACCCATTCTTTTACCGCAACCTCAACTACGACATGGATTATCGTATAGTGACATGGATGTATAACGCAACCATGTGTCGTGTTCAAGAGCTTGATCTTGACATTGCCTTGAAAAATACATTTTGCTTGCCTCTTTGTGCCTTGAACTGCTCATCATTGCGGGTTCTAAAACTGAACTTGAATTGGGGTAATCTCAAGTTGCCCAATGTAGAGTTCAACTCGCTGCAGGAGTTGTCGTTGATCAAGTTCAGAGTTGTTAATCCATTGCTCGGAGAGTGGATTTCTTTGTACTGTAAGGCCCTTACAAATTTAAGCCTCAGGGTGTTTTATGGGATGAGCAATCTCAATATTACAAGCTCTTCTCTTCAAGATATGAAAATTACTATCCATGATGAGGTTTGTGATGTCAAAATTTCTGCTGCGAAACTGCGGACTTTGTTTGTAGGAGGACGAATGGGGTATGGAGGAGGTTTTCGGACTGGCAAATCGTTGACAATTTTTGCACCCAATCTTCAAGAGTTTAAGTATGTAGGAGACCTTGTATATATCTCTTGTAAAGGGGAATTCAAGTCTCTGGAAATTGCCATTGTTATTGTCTCAGATTATCCTCTTGTAAAGGCCGTGATTGACAGCTTTATAAAGTTCTTTTGCTGCCTAAGCAAAGCAAGAAAAATGGAATTAAGTGACAGGTTTATTAAGGTATTCAATGGCATTCTTCTTTCACATTTAATTTTTTTTTTTGTACGTTGTTCTTGTACCTACCTTTGCTTCTTTCTTTCTTCTCTTATTTTATCTAGTTTATATTTGTTTTAGGATT